TTAGGAGCTTGCTAATTAAATGGAAACATGTAGCAGCTTTGGAGCCCGAGATATATATTTTCCTGCTGCTGCTGTGCTCTGACATGAAGATCTACATGCTCCTGCTCCTACACTCCTAACATGTCTCTCCAACGTGTTTGGGATACATTTTTTTAAAAATAAAATAAAAGAAAAACACATTGCACTAGCAAGTAGATCTTTTTCTGGCTTTCAAAGGGAGCACAGCAAAGGTGTGGCCAGCCAAGTACAGGGTGTGTGGCATAAATCTGCTTAGTCAATTTGTTGAGAATGCAAACGGATAATAAGCACTTTACCACTCTGATGCTTCTACATAATTCCAACACAGCACCTGAGAAGCGATAAACATTTGTGATGTTACACCTGGCCACACCTGAGAATCCGCAGGTTGGAGAAGTAAACACAGAAGCTGAGTGGCAAATGAGTATTTTTAAATGAAAGAAGTTGGAACATGCCAAGAGTTTTTCAAAACAACTATATGATACCACCTGCTGTTTTTGTTTCTGTTTTTTTAAAAAGCTTGATTCATTCTTTTTTGTTCTTTTTTAAAAAACTTTATTTATCAGCTTCTGAAAATACTCATAACAAGCAATCCCTGTATACCTCTCCCCCAGGAAACATGCCATGCATGTATAAATGATACAGTCAAACATTAAGCAGGTTTGTGCAACAGTTTAGAGTTGACTATAACAGTTAAGTGTATTCCATTGGGTTGTTGTTGTTTTTATTTTGATTATGTATTTTGTGGTTTTGTATTTTGATTTTGTTCTGTGAACAGCTCTGAGACCTGGAGGTATATAAATTCAATTAATAATAATAATCTTTGGCAATCACTCGTAGCCAAGTAAGATTGTCTTCCATAAACACGGTTTTAACAATGAGTCTGTAAGTGACTGTGGAGGCCAATTCTGGATCCACACGTCCTTCCACAGTAGGGAAATAATAGTAATAATACTAATACTAATACTAATACTAATACTCTCCATCTTAACAGAGTAAACTGTGGGAAACTGGTGGAGAGGTGACAACATTGTCCTTTCCAGTGTATTGAATAAACATGAACCACACAATTTCAAAATTCCCTTTGGTCGTTGTGTTCCTGTGCTTTAAGATGCTTTCTTAGTTTCTCCATAGTAAGAGCTATGTTCCATAGGCTATCCTACTATGCCTCTAGAGTTAGTAACTGTTTCCCAATATCATGCTAATGTATTTCTAGCTGCTGTTTTTAAGGATGGCTTTCTCACTGCACCACCACCACCACCATTATTAAAGAACTTTTGCCCACCTGGAGATTCACCTGGCACCTGGAGGGGGACAGGAAAACCTGGAGACTTCAGATCAGACTTGGAAGTTGCTACCCTGCCCATTGCCTGCCTAGGTGAAGTTCGGTTTAAGCTAAAGCATCATAAGAATGCAGATCTGGGGTCTGAAGTGGCCCATCCACACTGAGCACTAGGACAGCAGACCAAGCCTGCATGGATCACCTGGTCACAGTCTCCCCCAAAATGGTAGCAGGCTTTGTCTTTCTGTTCAAATCAGAGTGAATTTGCATCCATACTTTTAAATTAGCACATGCAGATTTTGTGCAAATCGGCACCCTTTTTCATTTTCTTCCTTCCCCTCACTGTTTTGGATGATTCAGAAGTGGTCATCCTACTAGGCAGGCCAGTGTTGTGTGACTCAAAATAAATACCGCTTTGATATTTCTGTTAGGTACACACATTGCAATATGACTGAATTATAGACAGTTATCTGCCGCAGAATGCAAAGCCCAGAGGCTTTGTGTCAGATTTAGAGGTTCAGAGTGGTTGAAAAAAATATTTTGAAGAGTCTTAGCATTAATTAGCCTTTCCCTCAAACATGATACACACAACTAATAGTAGGAATAAGGGCGCAAGGAGAGTGAGAGTGAGAGAGATTAAGGTTTCTAGCAGGCTCCAAAATCACAGCTAGGTCTTTGTCACTCTTCTGCTTTTTGTTGCGACATTCATGCCTTTAGCCATCCATGGGTGTTTGGGATGCAGCTGTTTTGGCCTCTCTCTGCTAATAAGGGGATAACTTTTTGAGGTTATGCAGTAAGGTGCTAATTGACATTAACGCTGGAGCCAGGAAATGCTGACACAATTTGAAATTAACACCCTGTCAATACACAGCTGACCTGTGTTATGCCAGTGCTTTGTCAAACCCTTTGGAATTAGATTTTCAATGCTGGAAGCAGAGGTCTCTTGCCGCAGTGAAGACTTGGATTGAACAGTCTGGGTTAGAAAACGGAGTTCACATTATTAAGAATTGTGGGTGTGGCTTTATTTTATTTTAAAAATAAGGCACTCTTGCCCACTTGGAGATTCAAGTTCCCTGGAGGGAGCCAGGCAAACACAGAGACTTCAGGTCAATCCTGGAGGTCTGGCAGCCCTACTGGAGCAGAAGAAGAGATCTAAAGCGGCACAGCAAGATGTAAAGTAGAAGGACATCTTTGAGGACAATGGGTGTTTGAAAGTCTGAAGTTTCAGTCATGGACACTGTTAAGTTGTGGGTGAACTTATCAGACGACATAGCGATTCTTCAAACAGCTCTTGTTTATTCACAGGCCAGAACAGAACTGAACTGAAGGGTTCAGCCAGCCTGCTTATATAGAGCTCCAGTACAACGCAACTGTAACAACTTTCTGTAACTATCCAATCACTGAACGTCACTTTCAATCCCTTATTTGCATATGTGGACCTGAGTGAAAACTATCTACAGTATCCCCCTGCTGGCCCAGGGTGAGAACTTCAGTACATAACAGACACAGTTTTACACATTACAGTCTGCAGTACATTTTAAATGCAGGTATAATAAAGGGAGACGCACAAGGATCGGGATGGAATTCTCATATGTTTTGGTTTAGACCCAGTGGGAATACATATATTAGCATGAGTTTGGGGAGTCAGTCTGGATGAAACCCTGGGTCCTCTTCCAAACCTGGGATCCTGTATCTGTGAGGGCAGAATGTATAAGGGGAAAGTGGCCAGAGCAGTTCCTTTGTCAAGGGAATGAATTTGACTGCCCAATTACATACCACAATTTAGCACATCCAAAGAAGTTGCTCTGTGCCAGGTGGACCTTCCCCCCACTTTTCTCACCTGTCAGATATTTATGTTTTTACTTTATTTTATTTATTGAATTTCTACTCCACCCTTCAGCCGAGTATCACAGGGCAGTTTACAATATAAAAAACATAGTAACAAACAAAAATAATACAATCCCCCCTCCCTCAATTTACAAAGCCATAGATTGATTAACTGGCCAAAGGCCTGGCAGAAGAGGAAGCCTGGTGCCTAAAGATTTGTAACGAAGGCGTCAGGCAAGCCTCCCTGGGGAGAGCATTCCACAAGTGGGGAACCACAGCTGAAGAAGCTACCCTCTGGACCTCTCATGGAGGAGGCACACAAAAAAGAGCCTCAGATGGTGGTTGCAGAGTCTGAATTGGTTCATATGGGGAGAGGCAGTCGTTGAGGTATGTAGGAGAAAAATAGCCAGAGTTGTGTGTGAGTGAGCTGGGAGCTGGAGACAACAGAGACAGGTTTGTTCTGTGTTGGACTTTGGGGCTCCCTTGGAAACCTAAAGGGGAAGCAGAGACTGAGTGTGTGTGTGACAATATATAGGGAGAACCAGTGTGATAGGATGGTTAGAGTGTTGGACTATAACCTAAGACTCCAGGTTATAGTCTGAGCCTGGGCTAGTCACAGTCTTTCAGCCACAGAGAATAAAGTGGGAAAGGAAGAACCATGTATGCCACCTTGATCTCCTTGGAGGAAAAGGTGGCATATTAAGCAAGCAAGCAAGTAAATAATGAATGAATTATGTTGGATTCCAACTTCCAGCAGCTGCAGTAACGATAAACCCACTGGAGGCAGTGATAGCCACCAACTTGGATGGCTTAAAAAGAGGATTTAGACCAGGCATAGGCAAACTCAGCCCTCCAGATGTTTTGAGACTACAATTCCCATCATCCCTGACCACTGGTCCTGTTAGCTAAGGGTGATGGGAATTGTAGTCCCAAAACATCTGGAGGGCTGAGTTTGCCTATGCCTGATTTAGACAGATTAATGAAGGAGAGGGCTATTGATGGCGACTAGCCATGATGGCTATGCTCTGCCTCCACATTCGGAGGCAGTAATGCTTCTGGATGCCAGTTGCTGGAAACCACAGGAGGGAAGAGTGCCCTTGTGCTTGAACTTGCTTGTGTGTTACCCATAGGCATCTGTTTGGCCCCTGTGAGAACAGGATGCTGCACTAGATGGGCCATTGGCCATTGGCAGGCTCTTCTGATGTCCTTATGGCCAATGGTCAAGGGTGATGTAGTCTGGCAACATCTGGCTTAGTCTGGCAACATCCCCGCCCCCATCATAGGACCAGGCTGCTCCTAGAGGCAGCCAAGTCTGTCCATAGGTGTGATTAAAAAGGACAAACTCCAAAAGGGTGTGAAATTGTACTAAGCGAGTGGGAAGTTCTGCAGAGTTATTCTCCACTTCCCATCGTCATAATGTCTTCAGTTAAAAGAAAAAAGAAAAAGGAAAGGAAAGAAAGAGGAGCGGGGGGAGGAAGAACCCTTTGAATGATCTTACTCTATTATACCATGTTACGGAGTTAATAGCTGGCCTTGTGGGACCGCTGTTCTGAGCCAAAGGAGCAGGATAATGAAAATTGTAAATTAAAAATAAATTTCAGCTTTTGGCCTTTTCCATTGAAACCTATTAGCAGAGTGGAAGACTTGGAGCAAAAATAATCAGTGGTAAATGAGGCCTGGGCTCAACTCTGCGGCTTTTTCTTTTTCTTCTCCTGAGCCTTATGCTCAGGAGAAGAAATTTGATATTAAGAGACTTTCTGCTTCTGAAATAGAATAATGGACAAGATCCTTGGGAAAGTAGGAAGAAGAAGAGCAAAGCAATGGCCGTGACTACATAAATTTGGTGTGCTCTAGCAGCTAAGAAGAATGGCAGGGCTGTAACTCAGTGGCAAGGCATCTGCTCTGCATGCAGAAGGTCTCAGGTTCAATCGCTGGAATCTCCAGGAAGAGCTTAGAGAGAGTCCCTGCCTGAAATCTTGGAGAGCTGCTGCCTGTAGGGACTCCATTCACACTAGACATTTAAAGCAGTATCATACTTGAACTTGAAACAGTCATGACTTCTAAATTGTCTGGTCATGATTGTGAAGGACCACCAATTGGGCTAGCAACCTTCTCGTCTTCTGATTTCTGGATATTATACAGATGGTTGTAGCTGCAGTTTCAAGTTCTGGTCCTATTTGTACTCTACTTTTAAAGCAGTATCATACTTCCCCCAAAGCATCTTAGGAGCTGTAGTCTGTAAAGGATGCTGAGAGGTAAGACACTGTCAGTGTTGCAATGCTAGGACCATCTTTCCCTGTCTGGGGTAATTTATCCAGAGCTCCCTGTGGAGACCAGGATGGGGTGACGGGGAGAGTGTGCATGTGTGAATCGAATCAAGGTGAGCAGCCCAGTTGAGATGAACTGGAGTGTTAACCTCTGCAAGTAGCCCTGCTTAACTTTTGGTGATGCCCCAAACAGCTGGTTATATCATGTATATTTGCCATTTAATATAAATGAGGCATTACAGGTAGAACACCCTAAACAGAAAGTTTGCATCAGTTCTCATACTTGGTGCCTTCCAGTGGAGCATGCATTCAGCTGTCTTCCATAGTGTCTCCAGCAATTGTGTTTAGAGAAATCAAGTGATCTCTGTGCAGGTCCTTGTGAACCATCCCTAAGTGATGGTGTTACTATCTGGTAGGCATGGAGCTTTTTGATCAGAGTAGTCAAGCTGTTCCTGGCTCCCTGAAGCATTCTTAACTGTAAAGTGCAAGCTGAACATGGTTTTGCTTTTAGGAGTACCTCTCCATCGCCTGCGCCCTTTTTGTCAATTCACCCAACAAGTTACAATTACAGCGTTTCAGAAAGGAGACTTGCTAATCCTATTACTCATTCATCAACCTGCAAATGATAGCAGGAGCTCCAATCGAACAGTGGTGAAAAGAGCAACAGGAGTTGCCTGTGTTGTTGTGAATCTGGGCTTAGCTCAGGCACAATAAGTGTGTAATCTTAAGGTTTTGTTGAGCTGAAATCCAATCACATACTTGACTGGTAGATCACAGAGAGAGAATGAGAGAGAAAGAGGGCTACCTCTCACACACAGTGCAATCCAGATTTTATAACAAATCAACCCCTCGCCAACTTTTATATCAACTTTCCTCACAGTTTCTGGGCATGAAACACTGGATCTCAGAATAGCAGTTGGCACTGTTGTGTTTATTTATTACATTTATATGCCAACTTCAAGGATCTCAGGGTGGTATATTTGATTCTTCCAACCACATTTTATCTTACCTGTGAGGTAGATGAAGCAGGGGGGGGGATGAAGGGCAGTTAGTGAGCTTCCTGGATGAGCTGGGATTTGAACCCTGGTTTCCCAGGTTCTAGTCTGACACTCTTAACTGCTACATCAAATAGTATCTCAAGGCTGCAAGTCCCAAATAAAGTTCCCTTGGAATCTGAATAGATATCACACCTGAGTTGGAGCCCTTAAGACTTGTATCCATTCACTCAGCAATTCAAATTGGCTTGAGGAAAATACAAGAATGTAAATTTCTGGATACTTGGTCTCCTTTTCTTATACATGCCAGTCCCTGAAGAAGTGAACTGAAACTACTGACCCACAATGATTTCTTTTTTTTAAAAAGAAATACTTTTATGTACCTTGGACCATTTTGCAGCTGAACTTTATGGAAGCCAACTACTGTAAGCGTAAGTGTAGCTTTTTTGGTTAATAATAATAATAATAATAATAATAATAATAATAATATATTAAATTTGTATACTGTGCTATACCCATAGATCTCAGAGTGGTTCACAACACAAAATTACAATATAAAAAGTACGAAAATGAATCATCATCATCACCATCCCAATAGTCCCCCTTCCACAACACATTTTAAAAGGGCATTTTAAATAAGGACCCTCACAGTTGTTGGACTAATTGGTATTTATTTATAGGATTTCTTACCTGCTCCTAAGTCCTCAGTGATTGGCAGGGATATAAGGTATCAGGCGGTCCTTACAAGTTGTTAAAAATGCTGTTCTCCATTTTGAGCCACTGTACTAGGGTGGATTAATGTTTCAGTAAAGAGATAAATGAGCAATGATTTAGTAACTGAAGACTAGAGGCTGTCGAAAGGACAAGATCCACAAGGACTTCTCAAGTTCAAGCCCAGCTGGAATAAGTGGGGTTTTCTCTAGAACAACCCACCTTGCTCAGTGCCGGTTCATTTCCATTTCATTTGCCAAGGAACCTATAGAGTGCTTCCCAAAGACTCGCTGTGTAGGTTTGTATTGAATAGTTTCACTTGCTTAAAGGTTCATATTAAACATTTTTGACAGTCTGTCACTTTCTCCCAAGCTACGAGGTCCCAGTGCTCTCTGTAAGCCATTGATTTGCCAGTTGTACTGTTAGCCCTTTGTGAACAATTAAGCTAAGGTCAGAGGTCACAATAGATCAATTTTGCTGACCGCGTTAATTTTATTTTTACTGAAAGGAACTTTTTGTCTCTTTTATCGGGAGGAAAATTAAGCTGTTAACTGGAATTCCACCAGGCTGTCTACCCTGAAAGCCCTGAGGCTTTAGGGAATGGGTAGCAGTGGTGCTTTAAAAAAAAAAGGCTCTCAGAAGGTAAATTTATTTCTTTTTTATTAAAAAGAACAATTTATGACCTATACAGTATGTCTGAGGCAGGGATCTTAACACAATGCACTGTATTTTCCCATTGCTTTTTGAAGGCTCAACCGTGCAAAGTTTTGAGTTCCCCCCTGGAGACATACTGATTTCCTACAAATCCCCCCTTGGAGCCATTATGATCTTAGGGTGTTCAAACCACAAAAGATGTTGGCAGCCCTTGGCTTTCTCCTACTCTCCTGCTTAAAGAGCCACAGAAACTGAAACGTCACAAGATTTCAAGAACGGAATCCTTTTACGCTAATGAAACAAGCCAAGCCAAATGGGGCTGCGTGTCACAGGAACACCGCATCATTATCTTAGTAGCAGACTAAGTCATACTGAGAGCAAACCCACTGAAATGAATGCACTTAAGTTAGTTATGATTTCAGTGTGTATGACTGGGACTGCATTCACATGACATTTTGTTCTAGAATCAGTAGAGATGGAGTACTTTGCAGTGGATCTACACCTGCCCAATGATCTTATGAATGGACATATACCCAAACTGCAACCACTAGTTTCATTAATTGTAAGTTGCTTTGGATTGCCTCATGCAAGATAAAGCAACTAATAATAATAATAAATCACCTGCCCTCACCAAGCCTTCACCTGCTTGCCTTCTTATTTATGTGCAGTCCAGCAGGTGACCCTGGCTACCAGCTTCTTCCTCTTTAGTCTCAATGTTGGTCCTGTAAATCTCAGTGGGGAGAAGGATGGGGATGAAACTAGTTAGCTGGTTCCATCTGTCAATGTCTCTGGCTCCACCTACTCTTTGGTTTCCCTGCCTTCTGCCCCACCCGTCTCAATGGGCACCAGCCACCATATGCTTTTTTGAAGCCCTTCCACCACTGCAGATGGCTGAAGGAAGATACTGCAGCTTTGAATCCAGCAGAGATCAGATGACACATGGAGCCAATAGGATTCCACATGGTCCTATAAAATTGCTGATGCTAGCCTGCCTTTCTTTTTAGTTTGAGTAAGTTATTGTTCAGTCATAGACTGAGCTGCTTAACAACTAAAGCACGCAGCCCGGTATTCGAAAAGGCATGGCCCAACACACTCTTCTTAGAACCAATCTTTCCAGCTTGGAAAAGCATGTCAGCAACATGTCATTCCCTGCCATATTATTATTTGCAGAAACGAATGCAGCCCCAACCAAAGAATCACAAACAACAGCCATGTTGAAAGGAAATGATCTGCGTTATGGTTTTTAAGTAAATGATGCTCAACGAATAAAGGCCATTAGCTGCTGCCATTTACTTTGTTGAATTTAGCCAACATTACTGTGTTGATTTTAAAAGCTATCAGCTTAACTATAATAAATCCATTTGACATGTCTTTATTCCGATAAAACTTTAAGACTGCCAGTGTAGCAAATGAGATGCAAATGCTCTTTTTTATTTTAAGTATATTTAAAGCTTCCTTTTCAATGCAAATTTTACTGGAAATCCGACAAGCTAGGACAGACATCTTAGCTGTCAGCGTGCAAACGCTTTCATTTGGGTCTAGGGCTTGGGAATGGCTGGCTTTTTTTTTATTCCCCTGCAGACTGAGATAATTAAAACTACAGAGAGACGGTTTTAAATATACATGATTTGGAGTTACTTAAACTGGGGGCTAATGTGGAACTGCAGGCATTAGCATTCTTGATAGGACAACACACTGACCATACAACATACTCCGGGGTGGTGATCTCCATTGAACAATTTCTGCTCCTCTGTAAATAATGTTGTTCTCTCTTGTGATCTGCACCTGAACTAAGTATCAAGGGACAGAACCATCCCTTTGAAATGTGGTCTGTGACTATCTGCTTTTTAAAAGATATATTGCTATCAACCTGTTCCCCCCCCCCCTTGAAGAAAGCCCCTACCTCGACTCATTTTTTGTTTATTTTCAGTCTGCAGCCTCTCTAGAATCAGTATCCACTTCAGCTCTGGTTTGCTGAGGCCTCATGAATGAGTTTATCTAAACAATGTGAATTTGCTCAGATCTCTCCAAAATCCCACATTTCTTGTGGTTGATAAAGCTGACTTTTGGTAAGAGGAGTTGGATCAGGGATGATTTAAATTTTTCACTGTGAAAGTGATAAAGGCTTTGCTATAAATAATAAGTATGCTCAAAACACCCACCCACACCACTATCATGGGCAAACAGTTTGAATAGAGAAGGAGAAATTTGACAGGACTTACCTGCACCCCTTAGTGCCCACTGCTATTGACTTAATAAATAAATCTCTGCATACAAGAGCTGGTTCCATTTGTCACTCTCTAGTGTGACTAAGAA